CCCCGCCGTTTCCACTCGACCCATTTTGGACACGTCCATCGCCCCGGATGCCACCGGAAGCGACGAACGCGTGCCCCGCGCCATTCTTCGGTTCCCCCTCCCGACGGCGAACCGAGTCCGCATGAGCATCTCGCACAGCCTTTTCAATTGTCTCGCGCGAGGGGGGAATCGGTGACATGGTCAGAATCTTCTTCTCTACCGAGTACTCGTCGGAAAGGTGGTATACCATGTGGGCATTGGCATCATCGTCGGAGAAAACAACACCGTGCGAGGCGAGCCTACTGCGCAAAACAGCAAATCTCCCGAAGTACTCTTGCGGGGTCTCCCCTACTTTCATCTCAAGAGCGTGATATTGAGATGACAGCCTTTCTTTTTCGGCCCTGGCACGCGGCTCGTAATAATTGAGGAATATCTTCCAACCTCCACTAGGACTCCCATCGGCGATGATCTGGGTTAGGATTGGCATGTATGTCACTGTCGTGATCAGCAGGTTCCCACGCCGTTATTGCCTTTTCTACCCGTCCACTCGAATGCACCCTACGCATCTCCTCCATGCTCACGCCTTCTTTCCCAACTGGAATTTTTTCTTCAGTCAGTACTACGTCACGCACTCCTTCCTGGGCAAACATAGCTACCATGTTCGATCGAAAAATCAAAAACTTAGCCTGCTCATCCTCCCCTTGCTTGAAAACACCATCCCAAGGCGCTAGGCGCTTAGTCTCAGTCATTCGAACCGTCCCTGCGTTAATGGGTACTCTACCCATGTCCCCTGATGAGACGTGAAGTCGACCGGTGAGGGCGTCGGCGAGTGTGCGGGCGATTTCGTCGGTCGTCGGGTTGGCCGATGGCCGCCCCGCGTGTTGCTGGTGGCGATCCTCGTGCTCTCTTCCGGTCCGGACGTCATCTGTCCTCCGCTCCTCTGCTTCTTGCCTCGACATCTCGGCCAGTCTTGCTTCTACCCTCTGTTCGACCAAGTAGTTGATCCGGGCTTCCTCCTCTGCTAGTCGGGCGCTCACTCGATCTTGCTCGGTGTCGCTCATCGGTGGCTGCTGCTGATCGCCGCAAAGCGATACTCCAAACTAAGCTCGACTCGAATCTCGTAGACGACGTGTCATACGCTAGCGTGATCGATAATTCGGGTGGCTCAGTTGTGTGTGATGGGAGCGTAGAGCAGCTCGGCCATGTCGGGCCGCAAGGGTAGGTAAAGACGTAGACGTGGTGAAAAACGTGTTGTATTCATCGGGGGCGTGCTTGAGCTCGTCATTCCATCACGGCATCAAGTCACGCATAACGCTTTAATACCCAGAACGAATCTCCATGAATCTCCACCAATCTACTACACTCCCAAGGAAAACACAAAGAAACTTCTTGTCCCTCCGTAGTTCGTCACTGCAATCCCCGCATATGTATACGCAATATACCACCCCCATGCTATGCTACGAGTATATCGAATAGGATTTTAGCCTTCCCTCGGCTCTATTGTGTCTTAGTTGCTAGGGTAAGAGCTCGTTTTTGCTCCACTGGCTACATCTCTACCGCGCGGTCTTCTTGCTCCTGCTTTCCTTTCTTGGTATGTCTCATCGTAGGGACGGCAGCGAGGACTCAGAGCCCTGCCAGTTCTCTGCAGTCGGTTCCTCCCCCACCACCTGGTTCGCCAGAGGCGCTGCTTGCTGTATCACATGTTGATCCTGCAGCCGCCTCGGCCTTTCTCGACCACGCTCTGTATGCGCCACATGATAGTGTTGGTGCTCGCGCCGCTGATCCTCAAGAAGAGGCCGCACGTCTGTCTGAGCTTCGCTCTGAGGCCAGGCGTGTCTGCCTTTTTCAAGAGGATGAGCATGCTCGTGGGGTTGGATGAGCATGCTCGTGGGGTTATAGCCCCGAGTAGTGTGCGTGCGCGTGAACCGGATGCTCCCTCTGTATCCACTGGTTTTGCTGGTGATGCCGCGTTCATACCCCCACCGGAACATCTCCGTCTCTTTTGAGACTGCTGTTTCTGGTGATGATGTGGTGGCCTCTGGTTTCGCTGTAGTAGCCACCCACCTCTGATGTGCGTTCAGTCGCAATAGGACCGACACTCGCTGCGCGTGATGTGTCTCTTATCCCGTCTTTTGCTGATGGGACGGTCATTTTTCTGACGCTGTACAACACCCCTCCGCAATCGCCGTTGCACCTAGCAGCTCTACACCGGTGGCCACTCGGCTACCCCTGGGGGACCCTTGGCAGGGGGTTTAACCCTGCAGGCACCCTGTGGGGGGGTTGTACAGGGTTCGGAGCGATGCCAACGTCAGAGCCTGGACCTTGGTAAGGTGTTGTCCATTGGTGGGGTCCATGGCGTTTACCTTGTACATGCCCGACACCCTGTCCGGTATTCTCGGTGATGCCCTGACAGGGTCGTGAAGTAAACAAGGTGAACACGTGGACCCTCGCAAGGTGCTAGGCCTTGCTGGGGTTACCCCTCATGATCCTGCTGCACGCCCATCACCTTGTACGGGGTATCTCGTGGGACCTTGTCAGAGGAGCGGTTGCTACAAGGTAATGTGTTAGGCCTTGGAAAGGTGAAGGGTTCGCACAGGGTTTAAAACGGGGACCTTATGTGCTATCCCCCCCCCCCCCCTTACAAA